GCAAGACCTTTTTGAAGTGTTGAAGAGCAAACATGTCAGCTTGAGGACTAAGGTGGGCCTGACCTAAGCCATGGTATTTTCGAGAACCTCATATGCATGCGAAAGCTGGACAGTGAATAAGGAAGACTGTAGAAGAATTGATGCTTTTGAGTTATGATGTTGGAGGAGAATATTGAAAGCGCCATGGACTGCCAAAAGAACCAACAGATCTGTGTTGGAAGAAGTGCAGCCAGAGTGCTCCTTGGAGGCCAGGATGGCCAAACTTCATCTCTCATGCTTCGGACATATTGTCAGAAGGGAACAGTCGCTGGAGAAAGATACCATGTTTGGTAATGTGGAGGGTGAGAGAAAAAGCGGAAGGGTTTCCGAGGAGCATCTGGTGGGTTTGACCCACCAACTTGCAGTCTGCAGTCCAGTGCTGACCCTATAGCACCACACCAGGAGTCCTGGACTGCAGTAAACTTTCAATAAATGGAGTCCTGGTGTGGTGCTGTGGGTTAATGCGCCAGACTGCAAAGTCATTTGAACTGCAGGGTCGGTAGTTCAAGCTCACCAGCTGCTCCTCCTTAAAAGACCCTCTGAGTCTTTTAAAATGAGGCCCACAACACTCCTTGCTGGTGTTATGAAGATGGAACGAGAACGCTTGTGAGGATGCTTAGACCTGAATCGAGAGTCTTTCTTTCCTTTGTACTCGGGGGCTGCAAGGACAGAAAAGTTAGGGTGCCTACGCCCCTGCCTGGCCAGGGGACAGGAAAGGGAAGGTGTAAAATTGTTCCCAGAAGACACAACAGGCACATCGATGTGCATTATAACAACATCTGTCACAACACAGGTATGAAAGCACTGTCAACATCCAGCACATAACCAAAAACAAACCAGTTGCCAACTGACTGCAGCCCCATGAGCCAGACAGAGTTCGCTCCACAGGGTTTTCAAGGCTGCGGCTTTTCAGAAGCGATAGCCAGGCTTTTCTTCCTCGTGCCTCTGGGCAGATTTAAAATGCCAATCTTGGCTACTAGCTGAGCCCAGGGCTCTATCTACCAGGATGAGAATGGTAAACGATCTTAGAGATGTGTGATCACTACAAGTTGTAATTATGAAGACCGTAACGACTCAAGAAAAGGCGAATGGCTTGGTGCCCCTGTGGCCAGGCCTGGCTGTACAGCTTGGTCCCCAGCTTGGTCCTCTCCACCCTCACTCTGCAGCCTGTCTGCCCCAGGCCACACAGCAGCCCCAGAAAGCATGGCTGTGTCCTACTTCCTGGTCTGTCACACTGCTCTTTCCATCCAAATGTCCTCCTCTCCTTGTCTGCCTGGAGGAGCCTGGTGACCCTCTAAAACCAAGCTCAGCTCCCACTTTCTCCTTAAAATGCTCTTGGTGCATTGCCCACCGCCCCAGGGCCACCCCCTGCGCTGTGCAGTCCCCTCACCTTCAATCTGTTTCTATTGCTCAATCCCAGTGTTTTATACCCACTCCTCCCTCCTCAAGCACGGCCACCATCAGTGAAGGTTTGTGTGGTGTGGCACAGTAGGATAAACACTGGATTAGTTACCACAGGGCCAAGAGTTCAAACCCACCAGCTGCTCTCGGAAGCCCTGTCTAATCCACAGGATCACCGTGCGTCAGAACTGACTCAACAGCACACAACAACAACAACAATGCTGAACATATTTTAGCAGCACTTTCAGACTAAGTAAACCGACACAAGGCACTGTTGGATAACCAATGGACTGCTAAGCCCAAGGTTAGAAGTTCAAATCCACCAATCGCTCCTAGGGAGAAAGATGAAGCTATCTGTTGCCTGTGGCTGTTTTACAGCCTCAGAAATACAGGGTTGCTGGGAGTCAGAATGGACTCAATGGCAGTAGGTCTGGCTTGGGTTTTTGCAACTAAGACAGACGAGGACGAAAAACCCAACGATGGATTTCTGAAAACTCTGCCAATGAAAGCCCGATAGATCACAACCATTCTATCTGTTGTGCATAGGGCTAACCACAACAGCAGCACAAATCAGGCTGTGAGCTTCAGAGTAACCATCAGACCAAATATTGTGGTGCCTCTAGGATGCTCTGGTCTATTCTAAGTGTGTCACAGCTATACACACTAATCATTACCCCCACCCAACAACCCTAAGAAATCACTATCCATTATCACCCTCACTTTACATATAAGAAAACCCAGAATGGAGAAGTACCATGCCCGAGGTCACACAGCTAACTGGTAGGGGAGGAATGGTTGGAAGCTAGCTGGGAGGGCTTTCTGATTCTGAGCTTTTCTTTCATTGTGGTTTAGGTGAAAGTTTACTGAGCAAATCAGTTTTTCATTCAACAATTTATAGGCATTTTGTTTCGTGACATTAACTGTCATCCCCTAGGTGTAAAACAGCACCCTTGCCACTTCCTCCCAGTTCCACTTGCCCGCCATCTTCCCCACCTTCTGAACTGGGTTTTAGGCAGATGTTGCCCAGTTGGTGTCACATGGGTAGTTGCTCTGAGCAGCATGGTGCCTCAACTGGTCATTGTTTGCTGTTGTTAAGTGACATGAAATTGGTTCTGATCCTGTATAGGGCTTCCGAGGAGTGGCTGGTGGGTTTGAACTACCAACCTTCAGTTAGCAATCCAGTGTTTACCTTACAGCGTCATACCAGGATTCCCAAACCCACTACCATGGAGTCAGTTCTGACTCAGCAACCTTCTGTAGGGTCTCAGCGGCTGTAAATCTTTACAGGGACAGAAAGTCTTCAGTTTTTCTCACAGTGCAGCTGCTGGATTCAAACTCCCCGCAGCTAGCAGCTCAACTCGTAACCCACTACACCACCAGGCTTCCTCCTTCACTGTATATGGTGGTTATGTGCTGTGGAGTTGGTTCCAACTCATAGCGACCCAGTACAGGGTTTCTGAGGCTGTAGATCTTTACGGGAAGAGAAAGCCACATCTTTCTCCCACGGAACGGCTGGTAGTTTCAAACCGCTGACCTTGCGGTTTGCAGCCCAATTCGTAACCACTATGCTACCAGAACTCTTTACTGTATATAGGCTTGTCTATTGTGTGGCTGAAAGGTGACCCTGGGGTGGGTTCGGTTCCAGGTTTGAAGGGTGTCTAATGGCCAGACTCTTGGGAGTTCCACCAATTCCTTCAGACCAGTAAGTCCAGTTTTGTGTGTGTGTAATTTTGAACTTTGATCTACATCTTCTTCTCCCATTCCGTGTCCAGAATCTTTTATTGTGATCCCATTCAGAGCCGTCAGCAGTGGTGGCTGGGTACCACCTAGTCCTTCTGGTCTCAGGCTAGTGGAGGTCATATTTGTGGGGACCATTAGTCCTTTGGACTATTTCCCTGAGTTCTTTATTTTCTTCACTCTACTTTGCTCCAGAGGGGGAGACACCAACAGTTGTATCTTGGATGGCCGCTTGTAAGTTGTTAGCACCCCAGTCATGACTCACCAGAGTAAGAGGCAGACTGCTGCCTTTATGGACTACGTTGTGCCAATTAACCTAGTTGGTGCCTGAGAGAGTCGACGCTTCTTAAAAAGCAGATACTAGTCAATAGCAAAAATTTTTTTTAAAAAATGCAGGGGAGGGTCTGGAGAGACTGGGACCCTCCTACAGTGCTGGTGGGACTGTAAAATAATGCAACCACTATGGAAATGGTACTTCCTCAAAACATTAGAAACAGAAATACCGTGTGACCCAGCAATCGCTCTACTTGGTATATATCCTCAAGAAATAAGAGCCGTGACATAAATAGCTATCTGCACACCATGTTCACTGCAGCTCTATTCACAACAACAAAAAGATGGAGACAGCCTAGATGCCCATCAACAGAACAATGGTTAAACACACGTTGGTGCATACGCACAATGGGATACTATGTAATGCCGAGGAATAATGATGAATTTGCAAAACACCTCACAACATGGATGAAGCTGGAGGGCATTACACAATCACAAAAGGACAAATATTGGATGAGACCACTATTGTAAAAAGTGAAGAAAAGGTTTTCTTGATAAAAGAAACATTCTATGATGGTTACAATTCAACTGAAGGTTGATTTGAATTGCAAGATTAGCAGTTCAAACATACCAGCCTCTCCTCAGAAACCCTATACAGGGTTGCTACAGGTCATAATTGACTCAATAGCACTTAACAACAACAGGGGTAGACACATGCTAACATGGGTGATGGGGCAGGCTCTTAACAGCAAGAGGGAGGTTAGCAGAGGAAAGATGAATACAGCAGGAGACACAGGGAGGAATGCAAGCGTTCAAGTGA